CCTTTGTTGACGTTTGTTGACCTATATCTTTTGACCTATATTATGTAGCAGCTTTACATTTCGAACATAACGTAACATCCTGAATATCAATTAACCTATGCAAAAAACAATTGAAGTGGGCGTGGCACATCCGGGTTAAATTACTCAATATTGACATTTTTGGCCAGGGGCATAACTCGCAAAGTATACATTTGTTCAAAATGGAACTTTGCATACAATTACCTCATATATTGAGCCACTTTGTCTTAGAATTTCAATTGTTTTTGCTTCATAGTTCAAAAAAAGGAACAGGTTTTGGAATTTAAAATTTTCAATTTTTGACCTTGACCTTTGTTGACCTTGACCTTTCTAACATCAAACGTCATTGGCATTGGCTATCTATTTATACTTTTATATTTGCCGTCCTATGTCAACTTCCGGTTTTATAGTCGTTAGCAATTTGAAATTTTGATGGCGTATATCTCTTGATCTTGACCTTTTTAGACCTTCTCCTTTACAAGATCAAAGGTCATTGACCTTGGCTATCTGCTGATACTTTCATTTGTGAGATCTGACGTCCACTTCCGGTATTACAATCTTCTAAAAAATGAAAATTTCTCAACTTTAGACCGATCTTGCGCTTGATCTAATTATCGTGGAAGGTTGATTTTTTCAGGTTCTTTTGCATTTTGCTACATTTGCAAAGTCCCACTCTGTGCCACGAGTGGCTCTAGTTTGTAATTGTATACGAGACTGTTCACGTCCATGAATGCACACGAAGTATTCTCATGTGTTGGGTTCAGCCAATCAAATGCTCTGTTCATTAAAAGATATCTTTACAAAATGTGAAGAGTTGCCGCTATTGGGCAAAATTAGACCGAACGTTAAATAAAATATATTTTTATCAGATGAATGATGACAAGAGTAGGCTATTATAAATGTAGAAAACGCGAAATATCTATAGATTTGTTTTTTTTTTTTTAGTTTATAAACCGTAGCAAGCAATAGTCTAGCCTAGCTTGCATGCGGAACTATTTCAGGCCTTGGACCTACAGATATAGGTTATATAATAACTCTATGGTGTCACGTTGCCTCGGGTCATTTTCAGATAAATATAAAACTATTTACTTTTATTCGCCTAATATGAGCGGAAAGGAGTCAGCAAAATTTTACTAATTTAATTTCTTTTCATATCATAATTAATGTAAGCAATTTGTTCGAAACCAACACCGTGCAAAAACTAGCCAACTGTTAAATAGTCCACTTTTTTGCCTACTCTTCTTGCCAAACGAGCTATAAAAATATGGACTTAGTACTTTTCGAGGCAATAAACAAAGAAATGGGAAAATAATTCATACTGTTTTTTTTTTTTTTTTTATCTTACTTCGGAATCAAATATTATTCAAAATAACCGAGTCCCTCCGCCTAACCCACATCACTTCTTGCCAATGATTCAAATATATACTACATATTAGTCTATCATTATAATAGATTAGGGTGGTTGAAAGGTAACAAGTGACTGTTCAACAGAAGGCACTGGCACAGAGTTAAAGCAGTGTTCACAGTTCACTAATTGGTATAGGATAAATTGTAACTTAAGTAGATGGAGTAGGCTAGGCCCAGAACTCGGTTGGATTAACCTTTTTCTGATTATAAATTATTACCAGAATCATAATTTGAGACTTTCAGATATATATTTCTGCCAAGTACGTGTGAAAAAATTTTGCTTGTTGAAAACACGATTATTTGATCATTTTTGGTGATGAGAGTGAGACGTGTGATATTTTCTAGTGATATATTGTCAATAACGCAGCCATCTTTGTTTTGTAGAAACACATTGCTGTGTTAATGGTGGCTAACTTGTGCTCGGTAAAAAAAAAAAATTACCTTACCCTTGATAAGGTTTAATCTGGGCCTGCCATTGCATGTTTACAGATAAAAATACATAATCTCTTGGCTAAATAGTGGCCAATTATCTCCAGAAAACAATGTATATGGTCACATAGCCTCTGCTCCAAGCGATTCCCCATTCAGATAGAAGAAAGAGTTGTATCCTAAACCTTTGTAAACAAACTATTCTGCAGGAGGCCATATTATACACTACTGATCACCACAACTGTCACTGACTGCAGGAAAATGGCGTCAAGTAGAAATGAAATGAATGGTCGAAACAGTCCACGAGTGAATGGTTTAGAAAGAATTCCACGTCCTTTTATAATTGGTGTCGCAGGTGGTACAGCATCGGGAAAGGTAAAATATTTGTTACACAAATGTCAAACCTTGCTCTTTAGATTTCAAACTTGGCATCCACATTTTTTCTGATGTATCCTAAGTTGGCCTTATTGGACATTTGTTATGACATTTGATAATTTTGCTATGTATGGTTGAATAGAAGGATATCAAACTAATCTTCAACTACACAACCTGTATTCTTTTAGATTAAGTTTGCTTTTTGGTACATTAATAAACTAATGGATACCGCAAATGTAGAATCGTCTTTAGCGTGGGGTCAACGGGGGCTGGGCCCCATAAGTGAGAATTAAGCCCCAGCAAACCTCTTTCAGTGGAGATTGATTAATTTGCAGTGTCTTACAAAACGAAAACCAAAAAGATGAATGTTTTGATAAGGTGTTTGACACATTAGAAATGAGTTGTCTGGGGGAAGGCCATAACTCACATAACTTGTATCGCTCTGTGTTAACATGCTCTGCCCACACCACCTTGGCACAAATCAGAGCACCCGCTGCAATTCATTCCTGGTGATGGGGCTGATGTATATTACTAACACAAGGGAATATTATGAAATAAACACACTTCTTTAATAAAATATTAAACACATAATGTTTCAACACAAATTACACCATTGTGGTCATTGGATGAAATAATGACTAGAGAATAAAACTGATGTATATATAAATATGTTTTAAATTATGTTTTTTATATTCTTTGTTTGTAGTCATCAGTATGTTCTAAGATAATGGATCAGTTGGGACAAGCTGGTGTTGAACATCGTCAAAGACAAGTCGTTATTATTAGCCAAGATGCTTTCTACAAGAATCTAACGCCAGAACAAGATGCTAGAGCTAAAAGAGGAGAATTTAATTTTGATCATCCAGGTAAATTATATCTACACAAAATATCAAAGGGTAAAAAAAACCTCAATGATAAAATTAATTCAATTATAGAGTACAATTTTTAGCAGTTTGGCTACATATTATTAATCTATTATACTAATCACTGCTAGTTTTCTAAATCATTATTGGAATGCCTTTTTTTTTTTGAGTTTATTTAGCTTGAATAAACTGCACTATTTTACTCTTGATGTTGTAAGTATCCTCTTGTAATAATATTATATATAAATGATGTTTATGTTTTGTAGATGCTTTTGATTTTGAAGCAATGACTAAGGCATTAAAAGATATAGCAGCTGGAAAGACAGTTCAGATACCAGAATATGACTATGTTAATAATTGCAGGTAAGATTTTGACTATTAGTTTGATGATTTCTGCTTCTCTTGGTTGCTTTTGCACACGCTACGACCTAAGGAAATTATTTCAACTATTCTTAAGTTGAATTTTGGCACATTTAAGCATGAATTATAGTAATTCATTCTAACAAATCAAAAGAAATTGCTAATAAAAGGCTTACAACACATCAAAGGATGAAAACAATATACATTATCCACAATTCCTCACAATAGACAAAGATAAATCTTTTGCAACATGTTTGTTGAAAACAGAGCATTGGTAAAAGTCAAAGACCTAAAAAAAAAAATGTTGTTCCAAAGAATTTTCTAGGTCATGGAAAGCAAGCTGACATAATAAAACATTCCATACAAAATGATGTTGATAGTGCAGGAAATAGACTGATATTGAACATGTTTTATTACAGACGTGATGATGGTATGCAGGTACATCCAGTTGACGTGGTATTATTTGAAGGAATATTAGTATTTTATTTTAAAGAATTGCGTGAAATGTTTCATATGAAGTTATTTGTTGATACAGATCCTGATACAAGACTGTCTAGAAGAGGTTGGTTTTCTTTTCTAAAACAATTCTTATCTCACTGATGTAGAGAAATTTGTTGGTTATGTACTTTAAAGGATATACATGTAGTCATGAAAATGTTTGTTAGCTCACTTTACACTTTTTAAGTTTTAAATCCAACTCAAGTCCTCCTTCAATTTAACAAAATTTTATAATGGACATCTAGACTGTTGTCACTTTCAGGGTGTTCTTTTTCACCTGCAGATCTCAACAATTCCCTGACATCACAAATGCTTGATGGAATGTTGAGAACTACCTTGAAGTGACCACAGTCTAAAGCATTGAATTGCATCTGACAGCTGAGATTCAGTTGGTAAAGTCTGTATTTACAAAGTTTCTTTTTCCCTAACGAGGTTATCTGTTGATATCTGTTTAAAATACAATAAGAGTTGTTGTATTATAGTATTAAGAGATATACAAGAAAGGGGAAGAAGTCTGGAGAAGATATTACATCAATATACTAGTCTTGTTAAACCTGCTTTTGAAGAATTTTGTCTACCAGTAAGTTATTAAACTCATTTGATAAAAATACCAAATCATTGCATGTGAAAGAAGGGTATATATATATAGAGCCTTGGACAAATTTCTGTCTACTGAGTCATAGTTTCTATGTTAATGGTTTGCTAAATGTATTTGACATCGTCATTTGTCATTAAGTGAGTTTCAGTATATTCTAGCCAATGTCAATGGTAAGAAATATAGCAATGTAATTAAACTTAGAATTCAATTAGTTTTTTACCACAATCCGGTTCTAATGATGTTATTTCTAACCAATGATAGCATGTCATGTAGAAACTGTAACTTGATGATGTTGAAATTGAAATCTAATTTTGATTACAATAGAATTATAGTGTTTGTGTAAAAGTGTATGTGTTGAATTGTTATTGTATTTTCAGACAAAGAAATATGCTGATGTTATTATACCACGTGGTGCAGATAATACAGGTAGAATAATTTAATATTGTATATCTGTGTTTTTAGGCATTTAAATTCTTTTCTTAATAATAAGTTAACATAATAAAGTAAGTCAACATTCAAAACATTATTTTTATTCTTTCAGTGGCTATTGATTTGATTGTTCAGCATATTCAAGAATTGTTACGACCAACTAAAGGTGGAAAGAGAACCAGACACAATTCAGACTCGTTTGTAGGCCGGCCTCACTGAGCTTTAGTTTGATATCAATATAACTATAACTATAGTAGACTATACCTTGATCTTATGAATCCATTAGATCAAATCTTGCCATTATATTCTATATAATAATATAATAAAAACATGATATTTAGTCTTTTTTTGAGTTTGATATTTTAATAAATGTAAGCTTATACATGAATATAAATCTGAGAATATAGAAACCATTTAGAAACAACTGTAGCCAGAGAGTTAAATTTAAATGCTTTATAATGATTTGTTGTTAAAGGTGATCTACATCTTCTAATAGCAGTTTGTTTTTTATGAATGATTTGTGAAAGACTGTTTTATGCAATGCAACATTTATATATGTCCCAGAGTTCAAATATTGTTTTATGTAGAATTGTAAAAGAGAATTAAACAAGGGCATTTTATTTTGTTAAGGCCTGTTGATATTACTGAATAGGATCAGGTGGTAGAAAGGATCTTTTGTGAACCGAAGTTATTATACTAGTATATTATGGTAGTTGCTTTCCCTTTTAATTCAAATCAACATATCATGTTCAGTGCTTCAACCAAAAATAACTATTGTAAGAGGGGAAAATATCTTGATTTAACCCTGGATGGTTACATATATATTCATGGATAATGATTAAAACCTATGAGTGATATAATTAGACAATTGCTTGAACTACATTCATCAATTATATAAGTATATACTACAATTTCTGTTTATGTTATGGTTCAGATAATATTTAATTCATGCTAATTATAAACATCAAATTATTATTCTGTTAAAAGTATATATATATATAGTTAAAATAAATAAATTATTGTTTAAACCATAACATAAATATAAATTTTCTATATGTACAGTTTATAAGGCATTACTTTAATTTCTTAATAGTATTTTTCTCTAATTGAACCAGACGTCAGATTTCATTATGATAAGTGATACTGATGGTTGGTATTGATCTTTTATCAGCTTTGAAAGCAAATATTTATCCGACTACTACCGTAAGTACTTCTAATATTATTGTTGTTATATGATTTCTCAGTGGTTAAAGAAAAATACTACCTTTTAGAATGAAAAAACATCAATTCATGGTTTTTGGCTTGATCAGATTTGTAAATTTATGACACCAGGTAAATGATGAATGATAAACTCTCATTTGCCAAGTTTGAGAGTTTTTTATATTTTTTGTTCATTCTAAGAGATAGTCATCCTTTAAAATATTCTAATGTATCACTTTCAATCAAGTATTATACTCTAAGATATATCGGTGATTAATTAAAAATTGGTTTTTTTTTATGTTTCATTTTACCTTGTTTATGTTTTAATTAAATTTTATTGCTTTTATCCTATATATATATATATATATCATGTAGATTTTGATGTAAATTTTTATGGTAAACACAAGCTTGTTGTATGATTTATAGAAGCCAAAAAACTAGTTTTCTAGATAGCACAGTTGCAGGTTTAACTGAAGAGGTGAAACAAAATAAATAGCTCTTTGAAACTAGAGTTCGTTTAAGTTTGATCTTGTGAAGATGCTTTAAGATAGAAGGTCATGTCATGTGATGCTGAAAGTGGTTTAGAACATGTTCAACTTGTGATTTATATCCCCTTATGGTTAGCCCCAGCTTTAAATTTAATAGTGCTCACCCAACTAACTTTGACAGGCGAGGACTTTAAAGGGATCTCTACCCTTAATGCCGCAAAAGGAATATGTAAAAGGATAGAATCTGCATACATTTCAAGGTTTATCTCAAATATCACTTTGTTTATATTATAGTAGGCCTATTTTCTGTCTTACCTACCGTTGTGAAATACATGTATATATAGCCATCGTTCAGACTATAAAACTTACAAACTAGTCTAGTAATTAAGTCTCACATATAGACGTAGAAGATAGACAGAAGATAGACGTTATAAAATGCCTGGATTGTTATTGTGGTTGTTAAATTTGTAAATACATTGATTTGTTCCTTTAAAATATTTTTTTTCGTACCTTATGTACTTTGTTAAGATCATTCTGTTTAAAAGCATCTCGCGTCCATTACTGTCCTCGTGTTTTCATTGTAGTCACTTCAACTGAAAATTGTGGTTAGGAACGAATTGCCCTTGTATCAGTAGGTACAGGGGAAAACCACTTTGGAATATCTAAACCTGATACACGAGAGTTGTTCCCCATGATGTCAGTCTATCCCCTACTTATGCCCCCGGGCTCTGTTCATCTATGATTACAGATAAAAAAAAATGAAACGAAACCTGTTCACGAGTTCTTGAATTATATATTATTATTTACTAGTCACTATGAGTAACAGTGGAATTTTATTGATTTAACTTCAATTATCATAATGCATAAATCTATTAAGTCTATTTCTAACAAAACAGACCTCTTGTACTGTAGAAATCAGAATACTTGTAAGTTTTCTTCACGGATAACTTAGAGCTTATTTTTAGTGTAAATTCAATTATCAAGACTTGGATTTGTGTTCTACTTCTTATATAAAATGATAGACACGTATATCCAGACAGCCACCTGAAATCTGGTATGTCAACCGACACAGGACACTTCTTATTTATAGAATATTACTCAACAGCATAAACATTATTATAAACATCATTATTGAGTACGTGTATACTGAAATACTGAATCGGTAATTGATTAAAGAAGTGTAAGTTTAAGCTTAGGCAGATTAAGATAGTTGCTGTTATCTTGCAAAGGTATGTTATTCTTTTATAGGTTATAGGCTACAGTTTTTAAAGGGACAGTTGCGGCATTTTTGGTGGTTGATTTTAGTCTTGAATATATGTAAATAGTCTTCAAAAGTTCAAGAAATATCACATAATTCCTTTAGAAAATACTTCAAACTAGGAATTTTACTCACTATTTCTATATAAGCTTTTTCTGTACGTCACGAGTCAACATTCAAACGCGGATAATTCTGGACACACGTGGATTTAAAGGCTCAAATTTCGACAGTGAGATGTGAACACTATTCCTGACTGACTTTGCTAAAACAAAAACGTTTCTGAGACTAAAGTTTGATTGGTCAAAAATTGTACATCGATCTGTCCCTTTAAATGACAGTCAGCATTTGCTAGTACAATGAATTTTACCTATCATTGGTTGCAGATTATTGCAAAGTTTCGACGTGTTAAATATTTTTGTGGTTTTTTTTAGAATAAGAGTTCATGTTTGCTTAAAACTTTTATCACCGTTTTTCTGGGGACGACGAGAGAAATTCGTCGAAACGTTGCAGTACACCACTGAGTGTTGTCCCATATAGCTTAGTATACATAAGATAATAGTTAAGTTTGTGAGGTTAGAACATTATATACTGGGGTCACTGGTTCTGGATCATTTCTTTCTATTAGATTCTTAGATATGTAACACTGACACTGAAGCAGTACATAAATATGCGTGGTAAATAGCCCGAGCTTAAATGATAATATATTGTATATAGGATTACACCAATTCAATACCGTACAGCTATAACATGGGCCAAGGTCGCAAAACAAACAGGAGTGAAGAAATATAGCCTATTTATTTCTTTATATGGGGTATGTCAACATGAAATGCCGAGTGTATATTGGTGTCACCAATTTCCGTCCATAAATGCAAACACTCTTGAAGGCAAAATTCTTGACGCATTTTGAAAAAAAAACTAGGTGCAACACGCGAATCGCTGTGCCTCTGCTTTCGTAACATTACTTAAAAAGGAGGAATTATACGATTTTCATACATTTGTAAACTTCTTCATTTAAATAAAGACCTAAATTAAACCCCAAAGTGTCGCAACAGGTCCTCCCCAGAGGGTGTAGGGCAGTGCTCAACAATGCCTGCAGGTTCCAGACCATGACCAAAAAGATGTGGTACGATCGGGACCAAACAATACAGTTGGTGAAAAGGCACATTCAGTTAGTCTACATTTTATAGATATATGCTGTAAACATTTTCAACAATCTTTTCATCCCACTTTTTGTACTTTTTCACGAATCAAAGCATCTTAATGAACCATATAGCCTAGTCCGAACCATGCAGACTCATACCTAGCCTCTGATAACATTTTGAAATAACCGATATGATTAGGCCTACCCAATTCTTTTCTTATAGCAGAATATTTTTCTTTTTTTAACAGTACTGTAAAAAAATGTTGGAAACATACTTGAATAAAATCCCCGTATCGACTACAACCCAGGCGTTGCTGTTGGGAGTAACTATTGGAGCTATAACATATACACTATTCAAAAAGAAAACTAAAATTCCACCGGGGCCTCGGCCATTACCCTTGATTGGAAATCTGTTGTGTAAGTATTTCGTCACATCTTCCACTATTTATCTCTTATTTCTGTTAATGTTGGCATCCAACAAACTTCCTACAGACATTATGCTCATCTATTTGTGACCTTTACACGAATTAACGACCGAGTTATCCTGGTTAAAGAACCTCAGTTATATACTATCAACAATACAATACTAGTTTGTTCGTAAGCTGGCTCTTTCAGAACACCTAGACATACTCTGAATGCATCAACTGGACTTTCCTAAAGAGTTTACTTACTTGTATTTATTATTGGTATTTGCATGTAACCAAAAAGAGTTCCAAACTAGCCATTGCCTTCTTTTCATATTCCAGTGTTGAATTCGTCCGAACCACTTTTTAAACTTTTGTTCAAATGGAGAAAAGAATATGGTTCAATCATAACACTATATATGGGTAATTTCTTTGTAATTCGTGTTCAGTCTCATTTCGGGCCAATAGCGTCAATGGTTGCCAAATTTATTCTAATAATACCACAGAAAAAAAAAGACGAAAAACATTTAAATCAGATTGTGACATTATGATATTGATAATAACTATTTATACTTTGTTTAGGACCACAGAAAATGATTACACTGAACAATGCCGATGTTGTAAATGATGCGCTTGTCAAAAAAGGTGGTGATTTTGCCGGAAGAATGCATTTACATTCACGTAAGATTATTTCAGCAAGTTCTTATAGAAATGAAAGCTAACGCCGAAAGAATTAACCAATTTATTTAGAACGGGTTTGATTTATCAATGACCCCAGAGCATGAAGAAACCTATGCAGAAAAGATGTGGCTTCATAATCACCATAATGTAAAGAAATATAAAAGGAAATATATAGTGAATCATGTAACTGGTGATCATACGGCAAACTGCTGTGCTTTAAAATAGATGAATGACCTTCTCAATCTCTATTAATATTGGTTGAGTATAGTTGTCTTGTGCCACTCGATTTTTAAGAAATTACCTTATTATATGATTTTGACTGTTGCAGTGGAAGTAATTTCGGAAGGTTACAAGAGTATTGCAATGGCAGACACGACATATGCTTGGAAATTACAACGGAAATTATCGTTGCAAGGTTTAAGGTAGGTGGCCTTGACACAACAAAATATTCAGGTACTCGACCAGCTCGTAGTTTGTCCGCATGCAATGAAAACTCCTTTGAAGTGATGACCTGAAAGGGTTGAATGAAGAATAATAGAAGCCTAACCTATGTATGTTGTACAGTCAGTTGTACGTAGTTCTATTGAAAACTTACATCAACTTACGCCACTTCAATTCAGTCAATGTATGTGGTTATTGCTATTCCACTAAAACATAGCTTTTTGATGTATCACAAAATGCCCTTCGTTATTATTAACTGCTTTTGAGACGACTTAAAAGCTTAGTTATAGTGAAATTCTATAACATATTGAAAATTGGATTGGTTTGTAAGCAGGCAGTATCAGAGGTGACAAGGTCGCGTCGGGATCCGCAGAATTTTAAACAGGCAATTCTGTCCATATGTATTATGAAAGAAAGTAAATTGAAACCGAGAGGCCAAAGCCAGGTAATGACCAGCGCTTTATAGCAATGCTTTATATCAACAACTCTATCTTCTAATTTCAGACAATATTTATCCGGCAACAAATTGGAAGAGAAACTACACGAGTCTGTATCCAGAACTATTCGATTATTGAAAGAAAAAGAAAATGAACCAGTTTCCATTTTGAGCTATATTAGTTTAACTGTCTTTAATTTGTTAACTGGGGTCTGCTTTAGTAAAAGGTAATTTACACAAGGCCACCCCAACCACTAGTCTTTAGATTTCTTTTGCAAATTTTCTACGTAGACATAATATTTTGTGGCGGCCATGTTTTTCCGTTAGCTTTTTCTCATGAATGTTTTCAAATCCGCCATTGTAGGACTACCCACCCCTTTAAAATTTCACAATTTGACATAATCAATGCATATTGTTGTTTTTCAGTTATGAAATGGGCGATAAGGAATTTATCGAATTAGTATCAGATTTTGACACCTTTAGCACCGAGTTTGGCAATGGTCTTTGGGAAGATATTGTACCATTACTGAAATATTGGCCAACTAAAAAATACAACAGACTAATGAAGATGTTCAACAGTTTTTTGGACGTAATGTATAAAAACTATCATGAACATGTTCAAAGCTTTTCAGAAGGTAATTTTATATTCTAAAACAAGTGAAAATATCTATATTAAATCTTTATAGCTACTTGGTTAGGCTACTAGATAGTTTATGCCCAGTAACGTACATTAAAGGAGTTTCATAAACTTTTATGTGTATCGGGGACACTGATAGCATCAATTTCCACCATTCCAATTTTCAGCCAGGCGTCTGTAGTTCTTTCCACCGATTCCACTAAAACTAAGAGTTTTATGACGTCAAGTAGTTTTTGCAACAGTGACATCATATATGTTTTTTTCTATAACTACAGGAACCACAGACATCGGACAGAACATTGGAATAGTGCGAATCGAAGCCATACATTGGATTCACATTTAAAAACTATAAAACCTCTTTACAACCGCTTTAACTGCCAAGTGATCAGTGGTTTTCGTTGGACCACTGGAGCCTTGATAGTACTTCAGATGTATTGAATTTCAATCATTATATCTCGTTAAATCCTTAATATTAATGTCCTCATATTAACTTTTGATGTCCAAGAATTTTTTAGACTTATGAATTATATACTTTTACATTGGACACAGACCCGTAACCAGACAGAAGAGGAGGAGGAGGAGCAAGTAAAATGGAGGGCACTGATGTATGGTGGTTAGTTGCAGTAATGGAATCCCCCCTATCTCCTATTCATTTCATTTCATATTCTTTCACTATCAATATGTAAAGAGTAGCCTATGGTTAATTTTGTAGATAATTTGAAAGACTTTACTGACTTTATGATCTATGCCAAGAAACAAGCTGCTGTTGATGATCCCAATATCGAAAACATCATAACTGATACACATATAGTACAGACAATAGCAGATATATTTGGAGGTAAATAAGTTTTATGCAATACGGTCTCTAAAAATTACAGTTGAAATCATTCGGAAATTTTCTGCGATAGCAGAACTTTCGCGGTAGGCCGTGTGATTTAAAATTACAAAGAGTAAAAAAGAATTAAAGTTAAATATCTTTTGACTTTTGTAGCCGGAGTTGATACATCGAGACAGACTATAGTATGGACACTTTATCTACTCGCCGAAAATCCTGAAATACAGAAAAAGGTTCAGTCTGAAATTGATGAAATCCTAGGTGAGTACCATCTGTTTTTCAGTCCTCTGAACTTTGTCCCTTGCCATGTTGACACCAGTCCTTAAGATAAGTTTACCGGTACACTGACAACTTCCACAACTTCTTTCGACGCTCAATATCCAGCAACGTAAACAAAAGACTGCAATGGATGAGCAGTGACTGTAGCAGAAACTGAAAAAGAAGAAGGCAAGAATATCATCAATTCCCTCCATGTCGTGTATTCTCATATGCTTGTTATCTTCCATTCTGATCAAGGGAGTAGAAATGAATATTTTTAATAGAATGTGACAATCTCAATCAAATTTAGGTTCTGAAAGCTATTTGGATGCTGGTTGAAAGAGATCGCAGCATGGAGGTAATCAGGTTAAAGAACATATTTAGATAGGCAACCGCAAGTATTAGCTCAACAAAAGTATTTCACTTGAATCAACCAAATTTACATTATACTTTTAGATTTAAATCAAGCTCCAAGTGTTAAGGATAGGTCCAGCTTACCATACACCGAAGCCGTGCTGCATGAAAGTATGAGGATTTGTCCGGTTGCTCCTTTAAGTGTACCGCATACTTCCCAATGTGATACAACTTTAGGTAGGAATATAGATTAGTGTTTTATTAAGATACAGGATACAGTTATTAAAATTAGATTACAATTTTGTATTTTTTTTCTGATATTTTCGTCTACATAGGATTGTTGTCCGCAAGCCGATTTGTTCGAATCCTTCTCAAGGTAAGAACAAATCTGATGCCTGTTCCTGTCCTTCCTAGAGTCGACCCTGTGTCGACTTTCATCCCCTTATATCTAACACAGATCAAAGAGGCAGATCTATATACTCTATTCAACAAGTTATGGTCATCCTTACCTAACTCTAACCATGTCATTAGTTCTCGGCTGCCTACACTTCTTTCTATTAATGGCCTGTAAGGGATTGCAATTTTAAAGAAATTGTATAATAGTATAAGTATTGCATTACAGATATATACCTGGATATTTTTTATCAGTAAAGTAAATACTGATGGTAATATCTATTTAATGTTAAAATGTAAACATTCAAAATATAATAAAGTCCGTCTCAAAGCCAAATCAATTACATAAACTGAAAGTAAAATTTTCTGGATATATCCAGGAGATGGTTTTGTGGTACGAGCATGCTTAACCTGATCATTGATTTTATGAAGTACCTGTTCAGTACATATGATATACAGAGCTGTACTATACAGCCGATCTAACCGGATAAAATGTTTTTTTTTCAGGTGAATATGAAATACAAAAGGGAACAACAATCTTGATAAATACTTGGGCCTTGCATATGGATCCAGAGACTTGGGGTGATCCCGAAGTATTCAGACCAGAAAGATTTTTGGATGAAGATGGATCTCTAGCTCCCAAAACCATGTCCTGGCTACCATTTTCAGCAGGACGACGAAACTGTTTGGGTGAAACCATTGCTAGACCAGAGTTGCATTTAATTTTGGCAGTGCTTTTGAGAAACTTCACCTTTGATAAAGCAGTAGGTCCATCTGGAGAAACTTGGACAATGGAACCTGCTTCCGGTGGTTTTACATTCTTGCCACCAGATAACTACATGAAAATCCAATCCAGAAAATAGGAAAGATCTGTTGACAAATTTCTCAAAACGAAAACAATCTTCCCTATATAAGATATATTTTCATGACTGGGGGCAAACGAGAAAGCCTAAGTAGGCCTAATACTTTAAATAATACAATATATTTTTAGAAATCCATGTTATGTTTCTTGTAATCCTTACTAACAACTAATAACATTATATACTACTTATACAAAGAGAAACTAACGGCTGATGTTTTGATTTAGCTTTTACGTATTTTTTTTTTTTTTTGAACTCGTGGAACTATTAATAGACAGAGCAATGTCTGTCAATATTGCATGAAATATGACAAGGATAGTGACGGTTCTATGAATCATTATGTAAAGGGGTCTAATAGGGGACTGGATAGGGATTTATTAAAGGCCAAATCTATGTTATGTAGTGATCTTGTTGGAAAACAGGAGTGTATTCTGTATGTTTCAATTTATTTTTAAATAAAATATTAAACTGAAGATGATTTTTTTTATGAATGGTCGATACAAGTATTTGGTTAACTGAGAAGATTGAGTTACTATAAGACATGAGGTCGTCAGTATCGCATCGAGAGTAGAACCTATGTATATCAGAGATCTGTCTCCCTCCACACTGTATCCGGACAATCGATTGGATTATACGCTAGACAATCATTGTTCACAATTGTTTAGTTTTTTCTCTTTAGATTTGCTGTATTCGATAGCGTACAATCCAATCGCTGATTTCTATGATACAAGAAAGGATCCGATACCGATTGCGGTCAAGAAAAATACAAGCAGTTTGCAATGGCTTGAAACTGTGAAGATGGTACGTGGTTAGCTATAGTCCGATATATTGTACCAGCGCTAATGAATATAGGTATAAAAAACATCTGAAATAATTTAACATTCAGTTTATGCAAATATAGATTACAGAATAAACCTAAAACCAGAATAACTGGAAGCTAAAATAACTTGCAATTCAAACTAATTAAATATAAAACAGGTAAAAATTGTCATTATTCAAATTTTGAGCATCATGATGGTAATATATTCCCTTTGAGTTGCCACATTGGTCCTCATCCATTGCCTTCAGTAGATGAAATTGTTAGTAGCTTAAGATATATTGATATATTCGTAACATTTACTTCACTCAACATTTCACATGATCATATAGGCAGCTTTATCAAGAGAAAATTGTGCTTCTCCGTCGCCTATTTCTATATTTATGTGGTGTATACAGTATAATTTAATTAAACATTATCGCATGCTGTCAGTATGTTCCAGATATGTAATCAATCATCAAGGGAAGCTGATTTGAAAATCGTGGTAACAATGCCAATGTAGGACTTGGAGGACTTTGTAGGATCAAAGTATGCAGACTCATTGAACTAAATTTACAATTTCACATTCGGCAATCCTCTCTAATTTCTGTAGATTGTGTAGAACAAAAATTATTGTAAAAAAAGGCTATTTTATTTTCTTGAATCAAATATCCATCACTGTCAAAAATAAAAGCAGTTCATGGAATCATAAAAATTGGAATTCACTGACATGACAATTCCTTGAGGTTTAAATCATTCCAGATTCCCTTCACCTTTTGGGAAAATCAAGATGCTTTGGAATTCAAATCATAAACCCTGAGCGAAGATAGAATACTATTATATATTATGACAATCTTCACAGACATAACAGGAAAAGGAAGTGAAAAACGTCAGCATTTGTGTCACTTACAAATGTGAAAACTATCTGTTCCACACCAAAACTATTTAATATATTCAAAGAACAATTTTATTTTAAATTTTGAAAAAACATTAAAATATTGCTTGATTTGTTGAAATTGAAGCAATCAAATATTCTAGTACTGAATTTATCTTAATTTTCAACTTAAATGTTCCCTCACACCTTGCAATTACCAGTTGCAAATAATGTCAGCAATCATGAGTTCTGAAAGCACAACTCAGTTTCATGAGAGTTGTTACTTGTTACTTCTATTAATATTTGCTTTAGTGGGTGGGTAGCCAATGTCTGGTTCTATACGGCACAAAAAACAGGATGCTTTATCTGAATTAGTTCCGAAGTTACAGCCGCTCAAAGTTTGCCTTTTTTTCTGCAACTGGTGTTCACTATGGTGTGAGGGCAACATATGACAAATAATTGTTGTAATACTAATAGCCAATACAAAACAGGCATGGGATAGGATTTTCCCTTCCCCATTCTTCATACAACTCAGTAACTTAAGCCTTCCATTGATTGTACATTTTATACCTTAAATAATGTTATAAAATGGGTTTTATTGGTTGGAATAACATAATCTTCAAAAAAGATCAAAATAAAAACACACCCTTTTGACAATTGATATGACAAAAATAATTATGATTAAAGGTATTGTAATGATCACACAACTCTGAGACATTTTCAAGAGGTAGGGTCCAATAAAGCTCAATCAATCACAATTATTATTAGATGGTCATTTATTTTAGACCATTATTATGTTATAGCTGCCGTTTTATATAAAAAAAACAACCAAAATAACATTGTAAAAATATAGCGGATGACTAAGATCATTTATTCATTAAGCCTGTGATAATAAGGATTTTTTCCACAACATTTATTTAGATTTTTTCTTAAGATATTTAAAAAGTAACCATATTCAATTCAAGATATCTCAAAAAATTAATCATGATTTTTTCATTAAAAAATTTCTTACACAAAAAATTGAAATCTAAGTATATAAAAGAATCATTAAAACATGAAATACAAAATACTAATCATAGAGTATAAAACAGTATAATTAAACTAAAAACTCGTATTTACAACAATTCCTTCTCTGGGACTGATATTGTACAAAAGAATGATTAAAAAGAATTCCTTGATGGGACACATTTTTTTATTTCTTCTTAGTGTTACCAGCTGATAGAGGTCCAATATTCCTTTTCAGAATTAGACAACTGTGTCTCACCAAAAATATTTATAAATAGAATAGAAATATAAGAAACAAAAAATTCAATGACAATTCAAAACAATTTAAATTTCATCAAAAGTAGCAATATATGTTTAAATAATAATGTTAAAAATCACTACAATTCAACCACACCAGAAGAAATTTTACATAGAATAGAAAAAGAAATATTTAAACAGAAATTAAAAAAAACACGTTATTGTTACTCAGAATAGAAATATAGGCAACAAAAATATTTGCACAATCCAAAACAATTTAAATTTATATATGTCATGTTTAAATAATAATATTGAAAATTATTAAATTAGGTAAAGAAATGAACTGATTTAACATTCTAAAATTGTGTCTTTGGCAACCATAAATCACAGAATATTTGGAAAAAAAAAAAACATAAAGTGAAATTTTGTTAGACTGCTACATTTTAAATAGAAATTTGTTGAGAAATCACCCTTTTTATCTTTTTTGTCGTTTAAATATCACATTTTCTAATCCCATCATGGGTGACTCAAACAGTAATGACAGTATAAAAGCCAACATGTAGGCAGCCACTAAAAATGAGAAGAATAGAAACACCTGAAAAAACAAAAAGAAAAATCTTCAGAATCTCTAGAACCATGATGCAAACAGTGTAAAATTTTCACAGAATATGATTACTCAGAGAATAATTACTTTGTAGTTGAGCACTAAGAGCCACATCAAAATTGTAAAAAAAATCACATTCGATGTGTACAAAATTGAATATTGGTAGCCAAATGCCAAGAAGCAGACCATGTTTACTGTCTTTGAAACATCTGAGGAGTCCAATACTAAACAATGTTTACCATTGATTTTGCCAGGCTTGATTTTGATTTTGATTAATGAAATTGTCTTGGTTATGATATCGTTATTGGTTAGATATGAGATATATCTAGTAGTAATGTAATTTTAAACGACAAAGATATACTTACAAACGTAGCATCAGTCAAATATATTGTTTTCTTCTGAGCAAAAAACCAAGCATACATCACTATAGGATGAATTAAATAGGCACAGTAGGTTAATCTACTCAATGGAATCAATCCTTTCCATGATAATAACACATTTACTGGACCTGAAATTACAATACAATCATACTTATGTACATTTACTGGACCTGAAATTACAATACAATCATACTTATTTACATTTACTGGACCTAAAATTACAATACAGTCATACTTATATACATTTACTGGACCTGAAATTACAATACAATCATACTTTTATACATTTACTGGACCTGAAATTACAATACAATCATACTTTTATACATTTACTGGACCTGAAATTACAATACAATCATACTTATATACATTTACTGGACCTGAAATTACAATACCATCATACTTATATATATTTACAGGACCTGGAATTACAAATACAATCATACTTTACATCTATTTACTGGACCTGAAATGAGTAATTACAATACATTCATACTTTACATCTATTTACTGGACCTGAAATTACAATACAATCATACTTTACATCTATTTACTGGACCTGAAATTACAATACAATCATACTTTACATCTATTTACTGGACCTGAAATGAGTAATTACAATACATTCATACTTTTATATATTTACATGGACCTGAAATTAAAATACAATCATACTTATATTTATATACATTTACTGGACCAGAAATTACAATACATTCATACTTTTATATATTTACTGGACCTGAAATTACAATACATTCATACTTTTATATATTTACAGGACCTGAAATTACAATACAGTCATACTTTACATCTATTTACTGGACCTGAAATGAGTAATTACAATACATTCATACTTTTAACATATTTACAGGTAATGAAATTACAATACAATCATACTTATATTGTGTCATATTGTCAGGCATTCATGATTTGCAATAGTCAGTCAATAAAGGCTGAAACAGACCAGTTGTTTGGTCGTCATACAGTATGAAACTCTGAGCAACATGTTTCATATATCTGAAAGTTCGATCAACTTACCCCCATATCCCCCAACACAGGCAATAACAACCCAGGAAACACAGGCTCCCCAGACAGTTCTATTGACAGCATTATAAAAAGCTGAAGTTTCAACTGATAAAGGATGTCCTTGTGCTACATCATATAAACCATATAAAACTGCTAATGCTGAGGCTGTAGCTATACACCATCCAGTAACAACTGTTAACTAGAATAGTATAAAAACAAAATGTAAGGAATGGCAGTGAATCTTGTAATCATCATGGAGAAATAAATGCTGCTTCAAGACAATCCCTACAACAGCTGCAACAAGACAAACCCTACAACAGCTGCAACAAGACAAACCCTACAACAGCTGTAACAAGACAAACCCTACAACAGCTGCAACCAGACAAACCCTACAACAGCTGCAACAAGACAAACCCTACAACAGCTGCAACAAGACAAACCCTACAACAGCTGCAACCAGACAAACCCTACAACAGCTGCAACAAGACAAACCCAACAACACCTGCAACAAGACAAAGCCTACAACAGCTGCAACAAGACAAAGCCTACAACAGCTGCAACAAGACAAAGCCTTCAACAGCTGCAACAGAGACAAACCCTACAACAGCTGCAACAAGACAAACCCTACAACAGCTGCAACAAGACAAAGTCTACAACAGCTGCAACCAGACAAACCCTACAACAGCTGCAACCAGACAAACCCTACAACAGCTGCAACCAGACAAACCCTACAACAGCTGCAACAATTAGGTAATGTAAGGCTTGTCACATGACAAAGCAGAATTTATTTCCACACAACGATATCAAGATCCACAATTCATCCACAGGTTTATTAACATTAATCTATCTGTTCTGATTTTGTTCTGATCAAGGGTGTTGATTTGGCTCTATTTTCCAGACATGTGTGGCAGGATCACCAAGCTCTTTTTGACAAGTATAGGTTAGTCATTCAAACATACCTTATTCCATCTGAATCTGATCTCTGTTTTATAGAGATAATAACCTGCTAATAAACCAATGATATATGGTCCCATTCTACACCATGGTGTGATATAATACTCCATGAAATAGTCTAATGTATCAGGAGTACCAGCAGCTCTAGAATAAAAAAAAAGGGAATACTATGAAATATTTGAAATGTAGATCGCACATCAAGTATCAATCAATCTGCTATGTAAGAAGAAACTGTAATGTATATACATTAAAGTCAGTATTTTGACCTAAAGAGTACTTACGTAGAATTACTAGTGCTGTTTGAAGCTCCAGCAGCTGGGGCAGTTAAGGCTAATCCTGCTTGTAATTTATAAGATTGAGATACCAATCCAGCTGTGATTGTGGTTGTTAATAAAAACACACTACTGATTACCATACCAACATACTTATTACTGAAATATTGATTTCATTTCATTTATATAATATAAACATTAAAGTACATGCACCATATATATATATATATATATATCACAGAATAATTTTTATACTAACATTCCTCACTCCATTGAGCTAATGAACATGGGTAACACCATGCAGCATGCAAAAGCAATTTTTTTAGCATTATTGGATTCTATTTCCATTTTGAACGTTCACATGTACATTATGATATAACTGAATACTTACAAATATAGTAAAATACTTATTACAAAATCAAATACTTACTCGTATAATTGAATACTTACTAACATAATTGAATTCGTTCTAATATAATGGAATACATACTAATTTAATTGAACATTACAAATATAATGGAATACTTACTTCCTAATATAATGGAATGCTTACTTATTTAATTGAGTACTTGCTAATTGAATTCGTTCTAATATAATGGAATACTTGCTAATTTACTTCCTAATATAATGGAATGCTTACTTATTTAATTGAGTACTTGCTAATTGAATTCGTTCTAATATAATGGAATACTTGCTAATTTAATAGAATAGACTAATATAATGGAATACTTACTAATATAAGAAAGATATAACACTTAAAAACTTACTAATATAGGGGGATTATCATCAGTGGACTTAATATATAAAATTGCATATCATTTGCTAAATACCAGGACCATCCCATACACTGTGCAAACAGAATATATAATTAACACAATTCAATACTGTTTCATACTCATATTGTTTAAGTATATTCATACACAAAAATCAAATCAACAAATTACACTGCTTTTGTTCACTTTTCATCATGTTTCTGTGTAAGCTAACAGACTAGAACCAGTAACATCATGTTTCTGTGTAAGCTAACAGACTAGAACCAGTAACATCATGTTTCTGTGTAAGCTAACAGACTAGAACCAGTAACATCATGTTTCTGTGTAAGCTAACAGACTAGAACCAGTAACATCATGTTTCTGTGTAAGCTAACAGACTAGAACCAGTAACATCATGTTTCTGTGTAAGCTAACAGACTAGAACCAGTAACATCATGTTTCTGTGTAAGCTAACAGACTAGAACCAGTAACATCATGTTTCTGTGTAAGCTAACAGACTAGAACCAGTAACATCATGTTTCAGTTTCTATTTTAATATTTCTATATCACTCTCCGATTGATATATTGAGCACTATTTTAACAGTGAAAAAATTAGGTATTGTATGCTTTAAGTATATACTTGCCTGTTCTTTCTTCCATACTAAATTGTTAATATACAGGAGATTGGTCCACCATGAGTTTCTACATTGATTGATTTCTAGACCTTGTTGGGGCCAAAAGGGTCCATTTGAAATATAGGGAAATAATGGTACATACAGTAACATGAGAAACATATATGGTGGGGTTAATCTACAAAATCATAAAAAAAATAGTTTCAGGTACTGGAAGTGACGAACATTCTAAATACAATTGGCGTATTTCTCTAAATATTTGTTTAACAGGCTGATAGAACTCAATTTCAGCATTCATGCACTTTTTATAGAATTAAAATCTAATAGCAGCTTACAGCTTCTTGTATGCAGATTTTACCTAGATCATAACATCATCAATCATAATTGTCTATGATTATTTAATAATGGCCTGGAAGAGACAATTGATAAACTTTCTATTGTACATTTTTGGTTTGATTGTTAAGAAGGAAGAAACAAGAAGTTAGTTTTTAGTTCTGATAAGTTTTTTAGGTAAATGAATTTGAGCAAACATTTAGACCATTGTATCCTTTGAATCAGTGTGCAATAATTTAATTAACAAAAGCAATGATTGTTGCTGAAATGGTGAAAAAATTGTTGATTATCTTATAGAATTGTAAAATTGATATACACAATATCATGTGTCAATGATCAGTATTTCTATAAGTACTGTTCACGATTGTGTTATACTATAACATCACTAAAGTACTTCCGATGTTATAACTTGTTAGCAGACAATTTTGAAAAATCTATTTGCTTATAAATTTGTTAAAAATAGTTTTGACATCTTTCTATTAATCTATCTATCCTCAATCTTCAGCCTATTAATCAGCAAATCTATGTTCATGTCAAAGGTGGAAGATGGAAGTGGCACGCCATTCATGTAAGTAAAACAATATTACTATAAAGTCAGTACATATATTGTTCAATTGACCATAGACAATGTCATATTTTATAACAATGAATGAATGAACAATAATATAAATTAATGAACTCTGATAATTAATTTTAATTGACTACTCAATTTGCTACAGGGATGAAATAATACAGCAAGAATAGGTATTATTTTCTAGACAATTTCTCAAACTGAGCCTAAATTCCCAAACTGAATTTTCCAAAATATTATTACGTTATCTTCAACTTACCGCCAATATCTATGGAAGTAAAACATGCCCCAATTTAATTTTCCATCTCTTTTCTTTAATTCTTTTAGAGTCAAATAGGCTACCAATAATCCACTAGAATCAAATAAAGCAAAATCAAAATAACATGAAAATATCCAAAAACATGTCATTAATGTCATTATTCATTTTATTATTATTTTTTTCAATTTGTAGCACAGACATTTTACTAAGTACAGGATCCAATAAGGCAACCGAAGACAGATTTTGTTTTGTAAATGAAAATACATACCTTAAAGTAAAGAAAGAATCAACAGAAACTGTAGCATTTGTAACAGCTTGATATGCAAACCCCTTTACAACATGAGGTAGAAATGTGGCAAAATTATCTGAAATAATATAACAAAATATTTTTTTTAATTCCTTTTCTTTATGGCATAAAACAGTGATCAACTTAAAACAAGGTTCTCTGGTCTCATCAAATCAGCTTGATAGCTTCAGTACAAAAATCAAAAATTGGGTATGACACCAGCCTTGACACTGAAGATACAAGAATATTTTTACATATCAGGTAAAAGATGCTTCAATCTAAAAACACAAATCAGTTTTAAATCTACTATATCTATCTTAGATACTCACCAATAGTAGAAATACCAAATACTAAGGTATGGCCCATAATAACCCAAGTCATGGATAAAAATCTTATACCATGAATACAATTTAAACTTCCTTTTGACTGCTTGGTACTTAATATCTTTTTACCATTAGAATAGGCAGAGAAAGACAGGAGTATCTTGCCACACATACCTACAAATATTTACAAACTTATATTTACAATTGAACAAATATTTACAATCTTGTATTTACAAGTGAACAAATATTTACAAACTTATATCTACAATTGAACAAATATTTAAAAACTTATATTTACAATTGGACAAATATTTACAAAAATTTACAAGCTTATATTTATCACTGAGTAAAAACCTACATGTATTCTCAAACTTATATTTACAATTAAATAAATACCAAAATTTACTAACTAATTTTTCTTGTAGGCCTTTTTAGGTATTTAGGATTAATGCAAATTTTTATTATTTATTAATTTTTAATATTTACCATTTTTTATAATTATATATTTGATCATGAAATATTTATAAGCTTAGGCCTAAACATATTGTACCATCAATTTATTTACAATTTACACCAACTTGGATGCTTTATGCAATGTTTATAAGCATAGTTTAAATATCATGTAGAATCTATAGTAATTGATGTATAAAGCATCACTTACTGGGCTCTGGTGCCTCCATCTGTATCACAGGTTTATTACCACCAAGTAGAGGAGATTGTTCATCAGATGATAAATGTTTGATATTCATCGTACCATTTTCAACTTTTTCATTTAAAACTCCATCTTTTTCATTGGCCTTTATCAGGTATTTTGGTAGTTGTATCATCATCAAATCATATATAGTTCCAATCACCAACAAAACAGCGAATATCACACCTACAACACTGAAAAAAAAAAGGATAATACAACTAAAACACAGAAATTTTATGATCATTACATAGAGGGTTTCACTGTACTTAAAATACTAAGATATATCAAAGAATAAGACAGGACAAACAAAAAGCATAGATAAGCTCCAACATATAAAGTGTGCCCGTGGAAGTAGAATGATATAATATAAGTGTTACAATATATTTGCATATTTGCTTCCTTAATTTTAGAAACCAGTTTACAACTTCAACAGTACTATCATAACCCCTGTCAAGATAGAACCCTCAACTTCTAGGTCAACCAAGAGACACTCACAATGTAATGCCAATAAAAGTAATATTTAAGCTTACATGGCAGCTACAGCCTTTGTGTCATAATCTAACTGTTCATCTTGACATCGTGATCCAGCCTCACTCACACGGAATGTAAAACTCTTCAAATTTATATCATCTAATACTGTAATATCATATAATATATATACAATAATAACATATTTTCACCGCAAGAAATCATTGTATAGCAATATAGAAATACCACTGTTAAAATAGTGCTCAATACATCTAGTGTAGAGCGATGTAGAAATACCAGTGTTAAAATAGTGCTCAATACATCTATTGTAGAGCGATATAGAAATACCAGTGTTAAAATAGTGCTCAATACATCTATGGTAGAGCGATATAGAAATACCACTTTTAAAATAGTGCTCAATACATCAATTGTAGAGCGATATAGAAATACCACTGTTAAAATAGTGCTCAATACATCAATTATAGAGCGATGTAGAAATACCACTGTTAAAATAGTGCTCAAT